GGGAATGATGAGGGCAACAAATGTATAGATGTGCTCTACACAATTGATCTATGTATTGTGATGAATTTTATGAGCCCCAATAAACTGATTTAAAAAAAAAAAAAGAAGAGATAAAGGCAACAGAAGTAAATACAATCCTGCAGTCATAGTAACCACAATAATCTATGAATGGATATACATACACACACACACAAATTGAACAAGTGTGGGAAGAACAATACTCACAAATATACGTATGTTTAATATACCTCAAATACTGATTCCGACCCTTAGGGAACCTATAGGACAGCACAGAACTGCTCCCATGGGCTTCTGGGGCTGTAAATCTTTGTTAGGGTGGAGAGGTGTGTTTTTTTTGTTTTTGTTTTTTTACTGCTACAGAGCAGCTGATGGATTTGAAATGCTGATCTTGAGGTAACCCACCATGCCACTAGAGCTGGAAAAATTAGGAAAACTTCTTTAGTCTAACCAAACACCTTGAAGGAATGAGTCAATTCAGGGGACCAGAAAAGTCAATTGATATAACATAGTCCCTACAGTATTTTGCCCGTAGAATCTTTCAAGATTGCAACTTAAGGCTTGAGTTTTCTTTTGAGTTCTTGCAGTTTCAGATATGCTGAGAGTGTTCTTTGGTTTTCTCATTCTAGGTTCTTTCACATTTTGTTATACTATTTGGCTTTGTCTTCTCGGGGTGACATTTAAAATTTTCTGTTTCAACTGAAATCTTCAAAGACTCTATGGGTAAAATGTTGAATTATGCAAGAAGCATCACGCGAAGATGGAAAGACTACACAGAGCCACTGAACCAAAAGGAGCTAGTTGACATTCCACAATTTCAGACGGAAGCATCTGAGCAAGAACCAGTGGTACAGAAGGAATAGGTTCAAGCTGCACTGAATGCCTTATCTAAAAACAAGGATCCAGGAATTGATGGGAAAACCATTGAAAAGTTTCAGAAAGCTGAAGAAACACTGGAAGCACTGACTTGCTTATGCCACGAAATGTGGGAGACAGCTACTTGGCCAACTACCTGGAAAAGATTCATGTTGTGACCATTCCAAAGAAAGGTGGTGACTCAATAGAATGCTCAAACTACAGAGCAAAACCATTGATATTGCACATAAGTAAAACTTCGCTTATGATCATTGAACAATGATTGCAGCAGTACATTGACAGGGAGCTGCCAGAAGCTCAGGCCAGATTTAAAAGAGGACTCAGACGGATCTTGGGTGAAAGCATAGAATACCAGAAAGTTGTTTACTTGTGTTTCATTAACTATGCAAAGGCATTTGACTGTGTGACCCATAATAAAATGTGGATGACCTTGAGAAGAATGTGATTTACAGCATACTTCATTGCGCTCATGAGGAACTTGTACATGGATCAGGAATCAGTGGGTGAACAGAACAAAGGAAGATTGCATGGTTTAAAATGAAGAAAGGTGTGTCAAGGTTGTATCCTCTCACCATACTTGTTCAATCTGTATGCTATACAAATCAGAAGAGATGAAGAAAATGTGACATCGGGATTGGAGGAAGACTTAGTAACAACCTGAAGTATACTTGCTGAAAGTGAGGAGGAATGGACACATTTGATAATGAAGATCAAGAATTGTAGCCTTCATTATGCATTAAAACTCAATGTAAAGAAGAAAAATCATAGCACCTGGACCAACAAGTAACATCATGATAATTGGAGAAAAGGTTGAATGAAGAAGAATTTTGTCTTGCTTGGATCCACAGTAAATGCTCATGGAAACAGCAGTCAGGAAATAAAAAGAAGTGTTGCATTAGGTAAATCCGCTGCACAAGACCTCTTTAGAGGATTGAAGAGCAGGGATGTTACTTTGAGGACCAACGTGTGCCTGACCAAAGCCATGGGATTCTCCATTGCATCATACCATGTTTCCCCGAAAGTAAGAAACCCCCCGAAAACAAGACCTACTTACAGTTTTGCCTCTCACTGAAACATAAGGCATCCCCCCCGAAAATAAGGCCCCCCGAAGCTACCGTAACACTGGACTCTGGACTGTAGCAGCGGGTGCTGCCGCACAGGTCACTGTTGGCTGCAGTGCAGCCGAAGCAGACAGGAAGTGCGAGGTCTCTTTTAATAAAACAACAAATAATAAATGTGTACTGTATTTTCTTCATGGAAAAGTAAGATATGTCCTGAAAATAAGACGTAGCGCATCTTTGGGAGCAAAAATTAATATAACACACTGTCTTATTTTCGGGGAAACAGGGTATATATGTATGTAAGGAAGACCAAAGAAGAATTGTTGCACTTGAATTTTGGTGCTGGAGAAAAATATTAAAAGTACTATGCACTGCTAAAAGGAAAAACTGATCTATGTTGGAAGAAGTAAGGCCAGTGTGCTTCTTAGAAGCAAGGATGACAAGACTTCATCTTACATACTTTAGACATACTGTCAGGAGAGACCAGTCCCTAAACAAGGACGTCATGTTTGGTAAAGCGGAAAGGGAGGGGGAAAAAGGGAGGTCTTTACTGAGATGGACCGACACAGCAGCTGCATCCTTGGGCTCAGGCATACCAACAATTCGGAGAATGGCACAGGACCGTGCAATGCTTTGTCCTGCTGTGCATAGGGCCTCTGTCAGAGCTGACTAGATGGGACCTAACAACAATGGTCCACAAAGAAAGTATTCTACATCCTACTTTAGTGAGTAGTGACTGGGTTCTTAAAAGGATGGTAGTGGACACTGAAGGTGTAACTACTGGTTTCTCCCCATCTGGAGCCAAGAAGAGTGAAGAAAATCAAAGACACATGAGATCAATTAAAATGAACCACCAGAACCCCAGTCCATGATCATGAGACTATAATTAGATGGTGCCTGGCTACTAGAACCAATTGTTCTGAATGCTATCATTAGAAGGTCCCAGATGGAGTGGGAGAAAATATGTGGAACAAAATCCAAATCATAAGAAGACCACGTTTGCTGGTTGGATAGAGACTGGTAGAACTTCTGAGATGTTCTTGGGCATCCTTCAGCTTGAGCCTGAATTCATCCCCATGGTTCAATACTCAGCCAAAGACCAAATCTACAAGGAGAACAATAACTCTAGGGAGGGATACACTCCTTAGAACAATCATCCATACAAGATCAAGAGGGCCTACGGACAAAGTTCAGAGATCAGGAAGAGTTAGAGAAGAGAAGGAATGGAAACCAGAAACAAAAGAAATGGGATCAGTGATGTTATATTGTGGGGATTGCAATCAGTGACATGCAACAAAGGATGTGTGAACTGGTCAGTGGAAAATTGATTGACTCTAAATAAATCTTCACCCAAGTCACAAGTTTAAAAAGTTTTAAAGCTACTAAATTTAAAACAGAAACAACAAAAATCTAGATAGGAAATATTAAGTTATAATATAAAAGTGACAATATAAAGTTTGACAGAATAAACAATAATTTTTTGTTTGGGGGACTCAATGCATTAAAGAAAAATCAGAACAGCCACTTAAAAATACATTAAATCTCCACAACCAGAGTTTATCTTCTTAATAATCATGATTTTATCAGCACTATTCATTGTAACCAGATCATTCGTTTCAAGTTTTATAGTCTTAACACATGCTAATGGAATCGCTTCCATAAACATATGGGCTGCAAGATTTACTTTCCATTCTACTGGTGTTAATAAGACATGAGAAAATAATTTTTCAAAATAGATCATGGGTCCACAACAAAACATGACAATATATAAATTTGATTGAATCAGAAAACAGTGGTGTCTCTCAAGACACGCACCACAAGACATCCGAGACTCACCTCATTGTCTACCCCGCCCCACACTGTCACACTAACAGTAATTCTTCAAGATAAGCATACTGCACATTGCCACATTAAGTGATACATTTTAGCAATTAAATCTCTGAAAAAATTCCTAGATGAAGTTCTCTTTTCCAGGGGTGGGGGGTGGAGAAGGTGCGGGAGAAGGAATAGTCTCTTTTCACAAATTAGTTTGATTAAAGAGTCCCTCCCCATTTAAGAAAACAAAATGTAGATTGCTTTTCTTTAAAATACATGAATATAAAGATACTGCAATAGTTTGGATAATTCTTCTCAAATTCTGCACATTCTAACTCCTCCCTCATCTCTCTTTGACAATCCTACACATCTCAAAATATCCAAAAGTACTATAAAATTTGACAATGCTTTTTGAAAAGTACTAGGTGCCAATTATGCGTCAAAAGACCCGTGGGCAACATTAGGATTAGAAAGATACGTGCATTCTTTTATGCCAAGAGGACTTCATATTCCGTTTGTGAACAGGTTTAATGGGCATGTATCTTTTACTCTGAGAATGCTGGTTTTTAATTTTCTCATCTTAATGAGCCTTTGAATTTAGATCACGTAAAATCATAAAATCAGATGAGGAAAGCCGCTCTGTTCAGTAAGGACTACATGAGGTTCAGTAATGATTCCTAATGCACTCTCTCCTTAAACTGTTATTTTAGAAAAGTAGCTTAAATACACTGTGCATTAGAATTTTATCATTGCAAACCAACATTAGAAAAGACTTCCATCAACTTAAAAACAAAAAAGACATTCTTATAAGTGGATAATCAATCATCGCTACCACTAAATGTCGCAGCTCAACATCAGCAAGATGCACTGATAATTGTTAGTTATACACTGCACATATGATGCATGTCCTCCGTTGAGGAAGTAGAGGCCAGGTTTTTAGAAAACTGTACATATATTGATTTTACATTTATTTAATGTGGCCATTGAAGGACACTTTATTCTTCTGATAAACTATGATTGCTTATCAAAAGATTTTATAATTCAAGAGAAACATTCATAACTTGTGTGTGAAAATGAAAATCACTGGGCCACAGAAATCATGCCCACAAAATCCAATTTTGTGGATTTATGGCAGAAAGGCATTAGAGTACTGTCTTGCAGGAACCGCAGTCTAGTCACTGAAGTATAAGTGGCAGAGCGGTAATGATTAAGGTGACATGTCCCCCTGCCACAGCTGTTAATCAGCTTAACACTAGTTACATTATTGACATTCTTGTAATTACTTTTCCTAAGGCACATTTGTGCAAAATATATTTTACTTTAATTATGAGTTATCGGAGGCAAGTCCAATACCCAGAAAGAATAATCAAGGTTTTCCTAATGCAGTGTATAGCAAGCACAATGGTTTTCCCACCACCTGGACTAGTGGGACTTCAGAGGGAAGCACATTACGACCATACCTTGCCGTCCTCTGAGCACACGCCCATGTGCTCTCCGCTTTCATCCAGGCTAATCTGGCTGATCTTCACAGGACTCTATCAGAGAAAAAAGAGACACGGAAACTGTCAATTCTCAAATTCACTGCCACCTAGTCAATGCTGACACAGCGACCCTATAGGGCAGGGTAAAGCAGCCCCGTTAAATTTCTGAGGCTGTAACTGTTTACAGGAGGATGGGTTATATCCTCAACCAGATATCTTGGCTCTTGGTACAACTTAAGTGATGTGTACACTGTGTATTCATTCACTCAAGAACCATTCATTTTAATACATAGAAACAACAGAATATAGCTGTGTCACAGATATGTAATATCCCACAACCCTCACACTCCTCAGAATCATCTACTTCAGGCACCCGAAGTCTCAACTGAAATGCAGCTTCTTTACTATTTTTGATCTATTGTGTTCTGTTTACTCTACACGCCTACAATTATTTTTCCCAAGTGAAATCCACTAAAAGATCAACCACAAAAACTTCAAATTAATCATCGTGTAAATAGTTTTAGTTTGATTCACCATCATCTAGTGGCTTTTCTATAAGTTTCTATGTAAACATATTATGTATAAGTTGTACTTAGTACACACACAAAATATAAAACATCTAACTTTATTTCCCCCAATTTTGTTCTCTGATCCCAAATTTAAATATCTGAGATGACAGGAATCAGGCTATCCATTCTGATTGTATTTTCCAAAGTGTAAATATATAATTGTATTTTAAATATTTTTACATAACTTCCTATTCTCTGTATGGTAGCTTTTACTAAACTATCCATATAGGTGGATTTCCTAGTAGACATCAAAATCAACAATGTTGACATAATTTTTTAAATGTTAAGCTCTTCTAGTTTTGTTTCTTAAATAACGATAGCTTCCAACTTTCTTACACAAAGCATGGTAAAAACAAATTAATTATGAAGAGGAAAATACACCAAACATCAGTTACAAGAGTTCCTTGTAAATTATTTTTTAAAAGTATACCAACCAAAAATGGCTCAGGTTTTTAACAAAAGTAAATTGGCACAGCCAAAATTTAATGTTTGATCTTCAAATGGAAAATATTTTGTAATTAGGAAGCAAAGAATATAGCAAACCAGGTCTTGAGACCTAGGAAAAGTCAATTGTTCATTGACTGATGGTGCTCAGAGAAATTCCCACATTACAGGTATAGACCACTGGCTACAGAATCCTTGATCTTCTTGGTCTTTTAATCATCAAATCAGCAACATTCCTGAAACGCAGTCTGTGAAAAATAAGCTAGCACCTTAAAAGTTTCTAGACTGTTAGAAGTGGAACATTTTTTAAAAACCTTGAAGAATCTTTGATGCCTTAAAACAGGAGACTAAATGGAAGCCCACAGACAAGAACCACAACTGAAAAAGGATGGTGCCGAGACTACAAGCTTGAGAGGACCGAACCCTGGTACTGGGAAGGCACCCTTGCTGCTGGACAACAAGAAACCCATGAAAAGAAAAGGCCAAAGTGGGAAAGAGCTAGGCCAGAGGTCTGGGTGTTCCATCCATTTGTGGGCCTTTGTGTTCCACCAGTGCGCTCAGTGTAGCTTAGACATCTTCCTTCCACACCTTTGGCTCCTGATCATATGCTACCTCTTGAAATTGTTTGACATTTTACCCATAAAACCTTTCTGATGAAAACTCAAGGCTTGGATTCCCCCCACCCCCAGTTCTTTAAGCTTGAGAAATGATGACTACATTCTTCTCTTTCAACTTTCTAACTCTACGTCTTTCCACATTTCATTATAATAATGCACTTTGTTTTAAGTCATTCTTTATTGTCTTCTGTCAGTTCTTTTACTTCATCATTCCTTCCACTCACTTTATGCTCAAGTGTGTTTCCGAGGCTCTTCTGACATGCATGTCACTCTTTCTTTCTTTCTTGTCTTGTTAAAGAACTTTTTGAAGTCCCTATGCACCTGTTCTTGCATGGTATCTCTAGAAAAATTGCTACAGTGAACCATCTTAGGGTGCTCACACACATGCACATGGCAAACTAGATTCTGAGGAACTGAAATGGTAGGTGGAAGGACATATATAAATTATTTTTTTTAATAATGTGGCTTTTTTATTTTTCAAAAAGATGAATGGAAAAAATAGATGAATAGGTCACACGTGTATGAGAATTTTCTTTCCCCTAAATCATTGTTAGAAATGGACGTTAAAGATTCTGGTTTTGTGTGTGTGTGTGAGAGAGAGAGAGAGAAGGGGGAGGGGGATACAGAATAAGAATGTACAGATGGCATTAAGTACTCTTGGTTAGCTCCTGTTTCGTTATATTTGCGCAGTGTAAAAATGAAAAAGAAGAAGCTGGTTGAACCAGCGGGAGTCCTGGTGGTGTGTTGATTACGCAGTTTGGTGGTTTGAAACCACAGTGCTGCTGGGGAGAAAGATGAGGCTTTCTACTCCGGTAAAGGGTCACGGTGTCAGAAACCCACAGGGGCAGTTCTACCCTGTCCCATAGGGCTGCTATGAGTTGGAATCGACGCAGTGGCAGTGAGTTTGGCTTTGGTTTGGTTTAATTGGATGGACAGCGGATGCCGGCTTGGAAATTAGGGGCCGGCCCTGCTTTACATTCAGGAGCTTTACATTCAGTGGCACAGTTCACCCTGTAGAATGTGCTGTAATCCCACCCCTTCCATCTTCCTGGCTGGCTTCTTCTCCAGCCCGGCACTTCTCTCTGGGTTTCTAGCATGTGCCCCTCTGCCTCAGCCCATGAAGCAGCCGGTGGCTGGCAGGACAGGGTCTTGTGTAGCAGTGCCCTCTGAACCAGCTGGTCTTGCATCTCGGTGAATGGCTTATAGCTGTTAAGGGCAAAAATTCTTGGAGCCTTTCTCGACGCCTGTCTTTCCTCACACCTCATGCTGAATCTGTCAGAAAACGAACATATCTTCAAACAACTTTACCCATAATTTGACCACTTTTCACCACTCCCCCAGCTGTCAGGCTGGCCCAATTCATGGTCTTTCTTGTCTGAGTTATCTTAACTACTTTTGCTCTAAATCTTCTAGAGCTCTAGTCTCAATTACTCAGTCAGAATGACATGGGTAACATGTTAAGGGGATAATGTCACTCCTCTGCTTGAAACTCCCCAATAGCCTCCCGTATCTCAGTACAAATGTCAACGTCTTTATCTGCCCAAACACAGCGAGCTCTCCAAATTCTGAGCTCATCTACTCTAGTTCTGTCGACTACAATCACAATCACCTTCTAGCTAGCCCCCTAGCCGTAGGGGCTTTGCATTTCTTTGTGTGCTGCCTGAATGCTTTCTGTGCAGGTCCTTTCTGGTAGAGATCCTCTCAGAGACACCCTCTCTGACCACACGTGGAATATTTTAATACTTCATCTACATATCCTATAACTCTGCTATGGCTTTATTTTTAACACCTGAGCACATGTCACCATCTACTGGACTGTATCTTTAATTCATTTAAATTATTTATTGCTAAACTCACTAGGATACTAACTTCATGACAGCAAGGATTATGGCTGTTTTATTCACTACCATGTATCCCTTTGGGTCTGGTTTTGCAAAGGGTCTTTATGGTTTGAAACCGATTCAAGGAGGATAAATTGTGGAACAACATTAACAGAAGAAGAGATTTCCTAAAATATACACCAAAAGAAGGAAAAAAACAAATCAGCCACCAATAAGGATAATTCTACAATGTATGAATAAGTATATTTATACATTGTATGTTCACAAAGTTTATATATTCATACAAATAAACCATATTTTCATGAAAATAATGCACACATTTTATGTTCTTCTGCCACGATCCCGCAGATATTTTCATAAGTAAATATGCTATGTTAGCTTTTATGTTAATGAGCATAGCACGCTAACTGAAAACCTTCCCAGGGGTGTGGAAGGGGCAGCTGACTGAGGAGTAGAAAGCACTAGCTAGTAGAATAAAACTCTTGTAGGATTGTGTGACTCTGCTTGTGTGTGTACATGGATAGCAAGGGTAAAAAGGGGGAACAAGGGAAAGTGGAACCCCCAAATAAGAAAGTAAAAATAGGGTTGAAATAAATAAAGAGGTATTGCAGTAATTAAATACCTATATACGACACACTGGAGTTAAAACAAATCTCTTCTGACCAAAGTATACATAAAAATCCATCTAAATGTCATCTTGGAGACCTACTAAACACAGAGCAGCACAAATTAAACGCCAAAGGATGCTGCTATCTAGCGCTACTAGCATTAGTCGCTCTTTCAAGAAACATTCGGACACTGACAGTGTGTCAGGCCTGTCCTTAATTAGCTTGATCTAATGATCACCTACAGATAATAACCAATAGGCTGAGATGATACAATCTTCCCCATCACACATGGAGCACTTATAAAACAATTTGTTAGCCTAACCACCGGATATATAACTCTATGTAAATAGTCAGGAATCAGTAGCAAAAGATAATTAAAAGTAAAACAGAACATAAATATAACTTTGGAAAATAAAGATACATTAAAAATTAACTCAGAGGTTAAAGAAAAACCTCAAAATGCTACACATAGAATTATTGGACCATCACAGAATAGAGCTAGAAATGGATACTAAGCAGAAAATCTCCTTAAGGTTCAAAATTAAGAAAGTCACTTCTGCCTTGTAATATTTCTTCTAAAATGTAAATCATGGAAGTATCAGAGAATCCTGAAATGAGGATCAGTCTTGAAAGAAACTGGTCTATTATCAAGTAGACCAGTGAATATCAAGGTCACAAAAGACAGAGAAAGCCTGAGTAATTCCTTCAGGTTAAAACAGGCTGGAGAAACATGATAACCAAGCACCAGGTGTAATCCTGAGTGAAGCCTGGACCGGGAAAAGCAAAAACGCAATGAAACCAACAGCCAGAGTTAATCCTTGATTTTGGCAATCGTCCTGTGGCTATGTAGAATAAGGTCCTTTTTGAGACACAGAGACATCTAAAAAAGTATGTGTGCGCATGTGCCTATGTACATGTGTAGAGAGAGAAACTAAAAGGGAAAAAGGTTCACAGCTGGTTGATTTGGGTCAAGAC